CCCCCCTTCTAGATTCTAACCGTAGGGACCAACAAATAGCACTAGAGTGGATTACAAAAAAAAATATATGATTACAAAACAAAATAAGACTCAAATGTAAAAAATGAGTGGCTGGACAGAAAATTAAAGCAAACAATTACACAAATCCGAGAATGATTTTTCTAAAAAAATTTCACTCCTTGGGTTTTTCTTGTACCTTTTCTTTGTGAATCTTTTTCTAACTTCTTTTACTCTTATTATTTTCTTTTTTTACTGGAGTTTAATGCCTTTTTATCATGCAAGAGTCTCGGATTTAACCATAAAAAACTGCTGCCAAAATTTTTCCACAAAACAAGAGGTATTCAAGTGAAGTGTTCAACTAGTGCTTCACAATTTTGTACTATTTTTAGGTCCAATTTTAAAGCACTTTTTCTTTTTCTTTTCTAATGCTTTTAACACACTAATACCTCTGTTTTGCCTATGTTTTGAGGACTTAAAAAGTTTTAAAAGTTTCAGCCACAAAGCAAGACACAAAGAAACCTAGTAGAAAAAGTGTTTAACAATTTTTTTTGACAAAACTTTTAACAAGACATAAAGGAAACCTAACTCTAGGAAATTTGCTAGAACTAATAGAAAATTATGAACTCAATCATGTAAAGCAAAAGCACATTTAGGTAGGTTCAGATTTATAAAGCAAAAAACCGCACCAATTAATAGACACAAAACAACACAAAAATTAAGGTTCAACAAGCTAGTCTAGGATTCAATGACATTCAAAGGACTACACATGACTCTAGACAAAACATATGATTCAAAAACAAAAACATAAGCATTATCAATGTACAATCACAGACTCATGTTATAGGAATAGAGAGACTCAAGCAAAAATAAAAGCACAAGCACATGAACCTAAAGCACAAACCGAATTGATTCAAGGAATAAGGAACAAGCAAAAATCATGAATCAATTACTTCACATGTGACATAAGGATCCATCAAAATATTTATTAAACCTACATCCATACAGCAAACACAAAGAGACATGTAAAAGGAGGAAGATACAACACGGATTCAAGAACAAAAATTAGGAACACATAACCGCAAGAGCAACAAGGCTCTAGATACCAAAACTGATGGAACTACTTGGAGAAGATTGATGTTTCTTCAAGTTGAACCATGCTAAGTCCCTTCTTCTCTTGAGGTTCTTCATGCCAATGGAAGATTTGGATGAGTTCAAGCTCCAAAATCATGAAGATGCTTCCCAAAGTGGTTCGGTTTCTCTTGAAGGAGAAAAACTTGAGGCACTAAGCACAAAGGAGAAGTTCCTTTGTGAAGCTTCTAGGAGAAGGAGATTCTCCACGAAATTGGACTCTTTAAATGAGAGAGAATTTCTGATTTCTAAGTCTCATAAATGTCAAAAGTGATTACAAGAGTAGAAATTACAAATATATAGAGGTAGGTAGCTTAAGGAGCAAGCTAACCTTAACCATGGTTCACTAGGAACCATGGTAAGGTTAATTGACCTTCTAGGTGAGTTTAGAAACTTGTGGAGCAAGCTTCTCACTTAGCTTGCTTGGGAAGCAAGCTAAGGAGAAGCTTGTAGCACAAGCTTCTCATCTCCTTGAAGGTTAGAGAAGCAATTCGGTCAAAGAAAGGAGACTAGGCAAGGTGGGCAGATTTGGTCTCTTTTGGCTCCTTGAATTAATTTAAAAAATGTTTGATTTGGTTTAGTTAGGTTCATCCAATGATGATGAAATCTAGATAAATCCAATCTATGAAAAATTAGGAGCAAAATGAGTCCAATATGTAAAATTTTGGCTAGGCTCAATTCTGGCCCAATTACTAGTCACACCCTCAAGCATTGCTAAATGCCACCCCTATTTTCCTACTAAAAAAAATAGAAAATGAGTGTATTAACAAAGGAGGTTAAATGGAGTCAAACTCTCCAAGTAACCCACCCTAGAATCAATATACAATGACTAATAAAAGAAACTAAAATGCCTCACAAATACAAAGGCAAAAATAAGTCTATACAAGAGAACTATGTACAAGGTATTTACAACTAGAACTATGCCTTCTCTTCATGATAGAGTGGTCCAAATTGAAGAGTACCTTGGGCTTGGAAAGCCCACTGGTCTTCAAGGTGGCCATAGATCTAGAGATTGGGCCCTTGGCCTATGGTCCATCATCCCATTCCTCTTGGTTCCTTCAATATATCACCTCTTGGATTCCTTGACCTTGGCCATAGTCTATCACCTTACCCAACAGATCATCCCTATGAACAATCTCTGGTAAGAGCATTTGGCGCCCACCGTGGGGTCGATCAAGACAACTCTTATCGGCCACGCTTATGGTTTTCACCTAAAGCCATAGTAGACGAGCAACAGACGACATAGATCGCACGACAAGCATGGACAGCGAAGCAGCATTGAGAAGACTGATCGAGCAGGTCAAACAAATGCGATAGCAACACACCGCCGATCTGCAAAACATTCGTGCCAAGCATGAAATTGACCTAGCGGCGCAACGTACCGTGAACGAGGCTGACCTAGCGGTGCTGCATGCCAAGAATGAGCGTATTCGCGCCCAGCTTCCTCGGCGCCCCTCTGATTAGCCCCCTCCACCGAGTAGTCAACATGAAGAAGAGGGGCACTCGGTCTCTCAACCCCCAACTGCACCTAGGGCACCGACCCCCCGGCCTGCCACACATCGGTCGCACGCACCAACGAATAGGTCGGCCCATGAAGTCAGCAATGCTCCTGCCCAGGCCCCTGGAAATCGGGCGAGCATTCGTCGCCATCCTTTTCTGGACGGCATCATGGAGACTCCTCTACCTTTGGGCTGGAAGCCCCTCCACATCGACCTCTACGACGGCACGATGCATCTAGACGAGCACATCGACCTATACGTCACGCAGGTAAACCTATACACTAATGATGATGCTGTTCTGTGTAGGGTTTTTCTGACCTCGCTCAAGGGTGCAGCACTCGGCTGGTATACCCAACTGCCGGCAAGATCAATTGACAGCTTTGACACCCTGGTCAGACAGTTTATGACACAGTATGCAACGAGCCGGCCTCATCACATTACGTCAACTACTCTGGCCAGTCTTAGACAGAGCAATGACGAACCACTAAGGACGTTCATGGAGCGCTTTGCCAGCATCTCGGTTAAGATTCAAAATTTGAATCCCGAGGTTACCCTACACGCCATGCTCATGGCACTCAAGCCAGGACCGTTTGTCGACAGCTTATGACCAAGCTTTATTTCCGACCCGGACAATTTTAGGGGTCTACAGCGACCCCCCGTTGACATGGACGAACTCCGTGCCCAAGCTGTAGGCTACATCAGATGGAAAAGCACTCTGCTTTTCATGACCAGGTTCGCGGAAAGTCGCAAGTGAAGTTGGACCAAGGCCACAAGGATAAAGTGAAGGTTACCAATGATAGCCAATTCAAGAAGGCTGCTAGGGCAAGCAAAGGGGGGAGGTACGACTTCTACACTCCCCTAAATGCGCCCCGAGTACACATCTTGAAAGAGGCCAGCAATAGTAACCTGCTCTCCTTGCCACCACTGGGACACAGTTCCAATAGCGCGGACAAATCCAAACACTACCGGTACCACAGGAATCACGGTCACACAACTGAAGAATGTCGTACACTCCGAGATCGTATAGAGGAGCTTGTCCAGGCGGGACACCTCACACAATACGTCCAGCGGCAGCAAGGTCACCGAGGGGGCTACAACGGACGAGGACGGGGGCGAGGTCGCAGTTTAGGCACTCGCATAGACCAACCCTCCGGATCGCAACAAAATGGGGGTGGCACGGTGTAGGCTGAGGTAAGCCAAGAAACAGGGTCAGCCCCCTTGCGGGGAGTTATCAACATAATTGCAGGTGGCTTCACAGGGGGAGGCTCTAGCAGCTCGGCGCGAAAATGACATTTGCGCAGCATCAACAACGTTCATTCCGCTACCTCGGCCTCGCACCAAAGCTCACCACCAATCACCTTCATCGACGATGACTACACTGGCGTCTGTCCAAACCAAGATGACCCTATGGTCATCGCCGTGGAGGTCGCCAACTGGGAGGTCCACAAGACGCTGATCGACCAAGGCAGGTCGGCTGACGTCCTATACTGGCTGACGTTCCTCAGGTTAGACATCCCTCACTCCCTTATCCAACCTCACACAGAACCACTAGTTGGTTTTGCAGGAGAAAGGGTTCACACCCGAGGGTACGTGGATCTTTTGACAACCTTCGGAACTTCTCCTGATTCAAGGAGGATCATGGTCCACTACCTCCTCGTCGAGGCCAATACGTCGTATAACATTATCATCGACAGGCCTACCCTCAACCAGCTAGGAGCCGTGGTATCCACTCCACACTTGAAGATGAAGTTCCCAGGGAATAATGGGAAAATCATCTCAGTCAAAGCAAACCAAAAGACAGATCGGTAGTGCTATGCCGAAAGCCTGAAAGTCTCGTCATCCGAAGACCGTCGCAAAAGCGACCCTCCCACTATAGCTCACATATCCCAAGTCGCTATCACTAACCTGGATCTAAGGTCGGAATCCCATGACGAGCGGCCAAGTCCTATTGACGAGCTTGACGATCTTCAAGTCAGCAAACTCCCTGGACAATGTACAAAGATAAGCAGACAGCTAAACTCAGTGTTACGGCAGCAACTTGAAGCCGAAATCTCCAAGAATGCCGACCTCTTTGCATGGTCCAGCACCGACATTCCAGGTATCGATGCTAACTTTATCTGTCACAGGTTGGCAATCCACAGAGAAGCAAAACTGGTGGCCCAGAGGAAGCGGAAGTTCGGCGGTGAGAGGCGAGAAGCTATCATCACCGAGACACAAAAGCTGCTGAACGCGGGCTTCATCCGCGAGGTCAGATACACCACGTGACTGGCAAACGTGGTACTGGTGAAAAAGAGCTCGGGGAAGTGGCGCATGTGTGTCGACTACACCGACCTGAACAAAGCATGCCCCAAAGACTCATACCCCTTATCGAGCATCGACAGGCTAGTCGACGGAGCATCTGGGCAAGCCCTCCTCAGCTTTCTAGATGCTTACTCTAGGTACAACCAAATCATGATGTATCCCCTGGACGAAGTGCACACGTCGTTGATGGAGGAGGTTAGGAGGAGTGGTAGATGACGTCTCCTTAGCTTCTCCTTTGCTCGGATCTTCTTCAAGGAGATGGAAACCACAAAGATGAACACTAGATGGAGGAAGAATCTCGGATATAGAAGAGGCTTAAGCCTTGGATGGAAGCATCCAAGCTTAAGGTACAAGGGAAAGCTCACTTCAAAGAGGAAGAAATCCTAGTAGGGTTCCTAAGGTGAAGCTTTCTCTCATGGTGACTCTTGAACGAAATTTGGCTGAATAAGCTCTCAAATTTCATTATTCTCAAAAGTGAATACAAAGAGTAGAAGAAACACTTAAGTAGCATCCGGTTTTGCAAACATTTGGGCGCCTAAGTCAAAGCTCACAAGTGGCGCCCAAAATTTGAATTCAAATTTGAAATTTGAATTCAAATTTTGGCTCCCATGTGCTACTCCGAAATTTGAGGTACCTAATGTGCATCTAGGTCTGATTTGAGAGTCATTTAGGGTTAATTTGAGTGTCACATGTTCAGCCACCAATTGGTGCAAAACATGTGACTCAAATGTAACTTAAATGGCTTCCAAATTAAACCTAATTTAACCTAGTTAACCTACTTTAGTATTTCTTGTATTTTCCTAATCTAATGACCTAAATACAATGGTCAAACAAATACAATGGAAAGGAAAAATTACAAGAATGAAAATGAGCCCAATATTGGGTACCAAAAGCCCAAAGGCCCATGAAGCCCAAAACTAGGCCCAACAAGCCTAAAACCTAAAATGCTACTCTATGTGGTCCAAAATACAAGACCAAAATATATGATACCTATACTAACATGATGTATACAAAACATATGAAAATAGCTATAACAAAATATGGCCCATGAAAAGTTCAACTTCGGCCTTCCTAGGCCCATCGGGTCCATTGGGCCCTGACTGGCCCAAACCTTCATGTCTAGCCAACTCCTCTTGAATCTTTGAGTATGTCCCCTCTTGCACTCCAAAGCATGATTCCGTCAGTCGTTCATCACCGACCACGCCAACTTTTGCTACCGAGTGATGCCATTCAGTCTCAAAAATGCAGGAGCCACTTACCAGCGGCTGATGGACAAAGTTTTCCACCAACAGATTGGGCGGAACATGGAGGTTTTCGTCGACGACATGGTGGTCAAAACCACTTCAGCCGAAGGTCATGCTGCCGACCTGGCCGAGGTGTTCAACCAGATCAGAAAACACAACATGCGCCACAACCCAGAAAAGTGCATCTTCAACGTCCAAGGAGGAAAATTCCTTGGTTTCATGATCACCAGCAAGGGGATTGAGGCCAACCCGGAAAAATGCAAAGCCATAATCCAAATGCAGAGCCCTTAGACCATAAAAAACGTCCAACGCCTGGCAGGAAGGTTGGTTTCCCTCTCCCGTTTTATCCCCAGGTTGGTAGAGAAGGCAGGACCCATCTTCACCTTGCTACGAAAGCCAAAAAACTTCGAGTGGACGAACCAATATGAAGAAGCTTTCAAGCACTTCAAAGTCTTCCTCACAACCCCACCAGTCCTCTAGAGGCCGGATCACCGCGTCGACCTCCTCCTCTACCTGGCCGTGGTAGTGATGGAGAAGACTAGGAGAAGTGAAGTAAGGCCTCCTCCTTGAATCCGCCAATGCTAGGATCTTCTTCAAAGGAGATTAGAAACCGTGATGAAGAACACTTGAAGACAATAGAAACTCGGATCTAGGTTTCCTAAGCTATGGAGGGAAGTATCCAAGCTCAAGAAGCAATGGATTACTCACTTCAAAGAGAGGAAGAAGAAGATGAACTCCTAAGGTTTTGAGGTGAGTAATCTTGGTGGCTTTGAAGGGGAGAAACTCGGCCAAAGGCTCTCAAATTTCTATTCAATATTCAAAGTGAGTACAATAGATGAGAGGAGGGAAACATATAGCATCCGAATTTGAGGAGAACACTTGGCGCCACATGATTGGTCACATGTTGGCGCCAAGATTTGAATTCAAATTCAAATTTGAATTCAAACCTTGTGTCACATGCTCATGACCGGTCATGTAGAGCTAAATGAGAGATTAGGTTGAATTTAGAGTAGATTAGGTTGAATTTAGAGTGAATTTAGGGTTGCATTTCGGTGTCACACTTGTGCAACCAAGGTGGTGCCAAAAGTGTGACCTAAATGCAACTTAAATTCATCCTAAATTTGACCTAATTTGTCCTAATTCAAATGAACTATTAAACCTCCTTAAACCCTAAACTAATGACCAAAATACAATGGTCTAATGAATACAATCAATAGGAAATATTACAAGGAAAATAATGAGCCCAATATTGGGTACCAAAAGCCCAAAGGCCCATGAAACCCAAAACTAGGCCCAACTAGCCTAAACCCTAATCTATGGTCAAAATACAAGACCAACATGAAAATAGATTCCTAAACTAAGAAAGTACAATTAAACATGGTGTATAATCAATTAAGCCCAAGTAAGAAGCACCCTAGGCCCACCAAGCCCATTGGGCCCACTAAGCTCTGAAGCAGTCAAATCTTCAAGTAACCTCCTGGCCATAGCTCTAGTGGTTGGGCCTTTAGCCCATGCTCTTCCATCAGGTAGGAGGCGCAATCAGTGCAGTCATAGTACAAGAGCACCAGAAAGTGCTGACACTGATCTACTTCATCAGCCGGGTTCTCCAAGACACGGAAAAACGGTATCAGATGATTGAGAAGCTCGCACTAGCACTTGTCACCGCAGCTCGGCGCCTCTGACCTTATTTTCAAAGCCACCAGGTGGTCGTTAAAACCAACTACCCAATCAAGCAAATCCTGAGAAAGCTGGAGCTCGTCGGGTGGATGATAGCATGGTTGGTAGAACTTTCCAAGTTTGGCATCAAGTATGAAAGTTGTGGCACTCTGAAAGCTCAATGCCTGGCCGACTTTGTGGCTGAACAGACACCAGCCTCGACCGATGAACCACAGGTATGGACTTTACATGTTGATAGGTCCTCCAACTCTAAGGGTGGTGGTGCAGGTATTATTTTGGAAGGACTGAATCAGGTTACTTTAGAGCAATCCCTCAAGTTCGGCTTCAAAGTGACCAACAACCAAGCAGAGTATGAGGCGCTTCTCGCAGGGCTAAGGTTGGCTCACGACCTCGGAGCACGGAGAGTGAGTTGCAACAGTGACTCAAAACTCATGGTGGAGCAGCTCGGTGGGGCATATCAGACCAAGGACACCTTGCTGCAGAGGTATTTTCATGTAGCCACCCAACAGATCTCCTCCTTCGAAGAGTTCACAATCTACCATGTACCCTGCTAGCAAAACAAGAGAGCCAACCTCTTGTCCAAGCTCGCCAGCATAAAGCGCCCCGGGCAACACCGGACCATCATACATGAAACGTTGAGCTCGCCCAGCCTAGACGACAAGTTGTCAACACTAGTGACAGCACAGACCGAGGGTGGATGACAGGGATTTGGAGTTACTTGAAGGAAGGGACTTTACCTTAAGATAAAGAAGAAGCTCGAAAGATGAGAACACAGTCGGCTAAGTTCGTCATCATTGGCGACGAACTGTTCAAGTGTGGCATCTCCACTCCCCTCCTAAAATGCTTAGCTGAATCCCAGGTCACCTATGTCGTCGAGGAGATCCATCGAGGGATATGCGCATGCATTCCGGAGCACGCTCGATGGCAACTAGAGTACTCCAGGCTGGATATTACTGGCCCACA